TCAGATAAAACGACTTTCGGATAACCAATATACCAGCCACCAAAACGGTTCCTTTTTTTATTGGGTCGTACATAAGATCTCCTCTACTCTGACATAGTGGTTAAGCAACCACACAAATGATAACAACATACTATATTTTATTAGGACAAGGATGCTTACAGAAGAGGTCTTTTTTTTTGCCATGGCCTATTTACTAACTAAGGCCACTTGGCTCCTCCGGGGAGCATAGGCCATTGACGAACTCCCTCCATCTAACTCGATTTAGCGCCAGCTTTTCTAAAGTGTCCCAGTTGTATCCTTGCTGCTTTATTTCAATTTCTGTGTCCCTGCGCCAGGTGTTTCTTGGTCGTCCTCTGTTTCTTTTTCCCTGAGTTTCCACTTAAGTGCCTGCCTTGTAATGCTGCTTGTTGGTTTTCGCAGTGTGTGGCCTATCCATACCCATTTTTTTTTTCTTGATTTGGATGTCAATAGGTTCTTGGTCAGCTCTTTTCCATAGGTCTTCATTTCTTACTTTGTCGAACCATCTGATGTTCATGATTCTCCTTAGGCAGTAGTTGATGAATCTTTGGAGTCTAGACGACATTGTTTTAGTTGTTCTCCATGTTTCTGATCCATACAAGAGCACCGATTTTACGTTGGAGTTGAAAATTTTCATTTTTGTGCTTCTTGAGATGTTCTTGGCACTCCATACTTTCCCTAGAATGTTAAAGATGACTCTGGCTTTGTTGTTTCTTGCTTTTACATCAGCGTCTGTACCCCCTTCTATGTTGACAATGCTTCCTAGATAAGTAAACTCCTCTAGTTCTTCTATATTGGTGTTGTTCATCTTTATTGGTTGTTTACTTTTGGTATTGATCTTCATTACTTTTGTCTTTTCTTCGTTTGGTTTGAGTCCGAGCTTTATAGATGTTGAAGAGAGAAGGGATGTTTTTTCTTGCATTTGTTGTTGTGTACTGGATATAAGGGCTATATCATCCGCAAAATCCAAGTCTTCTAGTTGTTGCCACATTGTCCATTGGATTCCATTTCTTTTCCCTTCAGTTGCTTCTTTCATGATGTAGTCTATTGCCAAGAGGAAAAGAAAAGGTGATAGCATGCAGCCTTGTTTTACTCCAGTTTTGACATCAAAACTCTCGCTGAGATTGCCTTCATGTATAACTCTGTATTTCATGTTGTTATAAGAGTTCCTGATGATGTTTATGAATAATTGTGGTATTCCATAATGAGCCATGATGTTCCAAAGGGTTTCTCTGTCCAAGCTGTCAAATGCCTTTTCAAAGTCTACAAAGTTATAATCAGTAGGGAGGTGTTCCACTCTAAGGACTGTTCTATTATTATGCGTAGTGTGGCTATCTGGTCTATGCATGATCGGTCTTTCCTAAATCCTGCTTGCTGTTCTCGTAGTTTTTCATCTACAGCCTTCAGAAGTCGTGTAAGGAGGATTCTGTTTAGTACCTTTGCTGCCACTGATAGTAATGCAATTCCTCTGTAATTTTTGCATTCTTTAAGGTTGCCTTTCTTCGGTAGTTTGATTAGGTGGCCCTCGTTCCATTCTTGATGCATTTCTTCTTGCTGCCATATATCACTGAATAGCTTATGTAAGGGGTTAGCTGTTAGGTCAGGGCTGGCCTTAAGGGCTTCTGGTGGAATGTTGTCTGGACCTGCTGCCTTGCCTGACTTCAGCTTTTTTACTGCTTGTTTTATTTCTACTTTTGTTGGTAGGTTAAGGTTTATGTGAAGCTCTTCATTTGCTTTGTTGATAACTGGTGTATCAGCTGGAGGTGGTCTATTTAGAAGTTCTTTAAAGTATTCGGCCCATCTAGCAATCTGTTCTTCTTTAGTGGTAAGGACCTTCCCATTTTTGTCTTTAACTTGTTGTCAAGACCTGTTTGTCTAAATTTGCCAGCAAGTTTTTTGGTGGTATCGTTCATATTTCTCATGTTTGCAGCTTCTTCCGCTTGTGAGGCAAGATTTTCAATATATGCTCTTTTATCTTTTCTTACACATAGTCTAACTTCCTTGTGAGTTTTGTTGTAGTCAGTTTGAGCATCAGCTTTTGATTTTCTGGTTTTGCTTCTATTCATATATTTCTTTTTCTGTTTTCTCTCATTTACTTTTCTAAGAGTGGCTGGTGTAATCCACTCTTTTTGGGTATGTGATTTTCTACCAAGAGTTTCTTCACATGTGCTGTTTATTATCTCCTTTATCTGACTCCACTGGTCTTCAATGTTATCAAGTTCTTCTAGCAGCTGGAATTTGTTTGAAAGTGTTATGTTGAACTGTTCTTTCTCCGTCTTTTCTCTCAAAAAGTTAACATTGTATTTCATCCTTGATGAGTTTTTCATGGTGTATACTTTCCTTAGCTTCATTCTTACTTTTCCAATCAGGAGGTGATGGTCTGATGCAGCATCTGCTCCGCTCTTTACACAAACATCTTGAAGTGATCTCCTAAATTTGTTGCTGATGCAGAAATGGTCAATTTGGTTTTCTGTGACATGGTCTGGTGATACCCATGTTGCCTTGTGGATGTGTTTGTGTGGAAATATACTCCCTCCAATGACAAATTTATTGTTGGCACATAATTCTGCAAATCTTTCTCCATTTTCATTCATTTGGCCTAGTCCATGTTTTCCCATTGATTGTTCATACCCCATATTGCTGTTTCCTATTTTGGCATTGAAATCTCCCATCAGTACTGTTAGATCTTTGTCTTTTTGCTGGTTTAGAATTCCATTTAAAGTGTTGTAAAAATTATCCTTGTCATTTTCATCGGCATTATTTGTTGGTGCATAGCACTGTATAAAGTTTGCTCTTATTCGCTTGTGCTTTGTTCGAAAGGTTGCTGTCATTATTCTTGAACTTATAGGTTCCCAAGATATAAGTGCCCCATTGGCTTCCTTTGACATCATCATGGCAACTCCTTCTGTATGTGGACTACCATCCCCTTGGTGTCCAGAATATAAAACAGTCTCACCAGTAGCAAGCGTTGTCTTACCAGTTGAAATCCATCGAGTCTCGCTCAATCCCAGTATTTCTATTTTGTACTTTTTCATTTCATTGGCTATGATCGCTGCTTTGCCACTTTGGTACATGGTTCTTACATTCCAGGTCCAAAGTATGGAGGTTGACTTAGGTGTCAGAAGGTTGATCGGCTTTGCAGCTTCGTTTCCGCTTTCCCTGCAATGCGTCATATGTCTTGTTGTTAAAGAGACCCTCTCTACCGAGTCGGTAAATGTATTTCTGTTCGTCAATGTTTCTGTAACTGTGAATTATTTTTACAAGGCGAGATAGTTGGTCTTGCGCTCAACCCCCAACCTGGAGGGCCAGGAATTTTGTTCTCGAGGTATCCTTCCTCTAGATAAGCTGTCTGCCATGACTTACGAGCCTTATCTAACCGGTTTGATTTTGGAGTTGTTCCTTCTCCTAGATGGGTTGCCTTTCTTGGCTTACGACTCTCATCTATCCGGCTATTTTCCCATAGCTGGGGCAAGGTTGATGAGTGCAAGGGCATGTCCACGCGCCGGTGGGCCTACACACTGCATCTCTGGGGCCCTTGCTGCTCCGAGATCCTCTACAATTTTGCCTAGGATGCTGGACCCTAGTTACCGTGTGCTGTCGCGAGGAGGCATTGCAGAAGTCTTGAATAGTGTAGAGGCTATGTACTGGCAAAAAGACTTACTCACTCGGCTTTCTTTTCGCTTGCAAAGCAGGCTAGCCAGCGGTGGTGTAAGAGCCTATGGCTCCAACCCACACTAGACGCATACACAATCCTGTGGCACAAACCACAAACACACTTTTTGCCATGGCGTTGACAGTTTATTTTTTACTTATGAGTTTGAATGTCCCTTTGGTATCTTTCACTTCTCTCTAACATTAAGTTATAGGTCTGGCAGTATCTGAGCACTAGAATTGTAAGTCAGAGAAGCCATACTTTGGTAGGAGGCTGTTTAAACTCTTCCAGAAGCATCGTAAATTAGTTAATTGATTGTAGATCTTAATTTGTCAGAATGTACCTCGTATATAAAACCTTACACAAGTCAGTAAGCGTAAAATGTAGGTATAGTGACCTACTTTTTGGTAAAAAAAGGCTGTTTTACACCTAGCTTTAATTTTTTTGTCATTTTAGAGCTTAACATGTGAAATAATTGTATATACACTTTTTTATTGTTTGGAACCATATGCTGACCTTCTAATGTGTTTCGGTTTTTTGTATCGTTGGATTGCCGACTCATTCATGCATACACACGTGTTATCAGAATCCCTGCGCATCACAGGGCACATATTAATTGTCGTCGTCCCTCCGTCCATCTGTCTGACCGTCCTTTCGACCGTCCGTCCGTTACACACTTATACTCAGTGATCGTTTGCCAGATCAGTTCAATTAGACTCATTAAGTCTAAAATAAATTGGGAAGTTTTATGCGTGCTTAGATGGTAGTAATCAAATACTACTTGAACATTATAGTAAATGTTTTTTCAGATAACTGGAGACCTGTCCCCAATATGTCTGATATTGACATATACACGACGGGTGTCACTAGTAACACACGAGTTCATCTCCTGTTTTTTTTTGTGGCGTTCGTGTCACTCAAACTTAGGTTTTCTGTGTAGTGTTTTATAAACTACTGTGTGTCGTTTTTCTTTTATCAAATGCGTAGTCCTTTTTCTTTAATTGTTTATGATTTCCTCCTTGATATATTATCCATTCTTTCTTATCTTAAGGTATTTTCAAATTTCAAATTGACATGACACGTGTGTATAACAGTTTTGAGAACCAGTGTATTTCTATCCTTTACAGTATTAAACATATGAATCAGATCATTTGCATTAATTACTAAATGTCTAAATAGAGATGGAAATAGAAAACCACAAGTCGATGATAGACAGAAAACATCATGGTTTCTTTGTCATGGATCCCGGGATCGATCCCTGACTAGTACAGGTTCAAAATCACGTTCTACCATTGCAGCTTAAGACAAATTTGTTTTTTCTGATCATTTATTGGTTATTGTTTTCGCTAGAATTTTTATTGACAGGTTTCAAATCAGTATTTACTGAAGATGTTAGCCAATCATCAATAACAAAATTACAATAATTTCCATAATATTAGAATTAAAGAACATGTTAACAAAGAGTGCTCAAATTTAACAACTTTTAAAAGAAAAAACGGAAATATCCCCACACTACAATATCATGATTGACCGAGTTTGCTTAAAATGACTGGAGTATTAGCAAGACAAGACATGTCTTTTGTTAACAGTTTATTACTAACACTTATAAATTAACAATCACAAATAAATTTATTTCATCATCAACACATCATTTACATTGATTGTTTGCTGTTTTTCGAAAATTAAAAAATAATATTTTTTATATTTATATGACATATATTTGATCAATTCTTAAACAATAAGTTGTTAAATAAATCCGTTTTTACCAATAGCAAATATATTAATCCGGTTGATGATAATGTCACCTTAAATATTCTAGTCAATTCGTCTAGATATCTGACATTTATATATCTTCTGTGGTTGGCAAATACCTAACCTGATCCTTAGATTTTTCGTCGCAAGTATAAGTTTCTTCTGGGACAAATGATGATATTTTTTCATGGGTTGAGGTTGACCCTACGGTGGTGATTGTAGTTACCTTTGAAGTTTCCGTCATTGTTGGCTTGTGCTTCCTCATTGTTGAGATGAATCCGCATCGACAGAAAATTTTCTTGTAAGCTTCTGAGAACTGCTTATTACAAACCATGTAGATAATAAAGTTTACTGAAGAGTTGATCATCGACAACAGGAGGCTTAAATCACTGGAGACAACGAAGATATTATGATACTTTCCAAAAAACTCAAAGCCATCAACGAACCTGGAAACTAGCAGAAGCAGGGAACCTGGTGTTGTACATAACAAACAAACTGCTGAGATAATTAATAACATCCTTGTGATCTTGTCTTCTGATTTATTGTCAGTCTTTGATGTCGTCATACCTTTACGCCTCAAACTTCTTTGTTGCAGACTAATGATAATAATTAAATTAAAAAGCATAGTAAGGAAAACGGGTAGGTAACGAAATAGGACAGTGCCGAGTATTTCATTATGAATGGTCAAGATATCCTCATAAGAACTGTAGAACTGACTTGTTGATATGAAGTAGGAAGTGGTGTTCGTTCTCCGATTGAACATGGATCCAACAGTGTACTGGAAGGCAATAGGACTCAAGAAAATGAAAGTTAAAATATATATTACAATCACAGCCATAAGCATTCTCTGTTTTGAAACCCAGATTTTAATCTTCATTGGAAATGTAACGGCAATGACTCTCTCGATGGAGACGAGAACAACGAGCCATGCTGAAATACGACTAAATGATGTAATGACAAAGAAAAGTGGTCCAAATATAGTTGCCGTGTAGATCTCCTCTACGTATTCATCGATCAAACTGATAATGCAGGAAGACTTTCTGGTCATGTTTGTAATCAGAAAGCATAGGTCGGCAATGGTGATGGCGATAAGTATGACACCAGTGCTGTTTCTTAGTTTCTTCTGTATCAATATTACAAGACTCATAATGTTGCCTGTAGACCCAAACAGAGTAATGATGGGGAATATGACACATTGAAGAACAAACAGTATGTCATCTGACGTCTGTTTAGTGATGACATTGTGTGGATTGTTCCACGGTATGAAGTAGCTCTGTCTCATAGGTCTTGTTCTGTTCGAGATACCTGCAGTTGTGTTCACATAATTTTCGACATCTGATTTTGATGTTGTGGTCAAATTTTCCATCGTCAACTGTAAAATAGAAAAAAGTTCTCGTGAATTTCCATCTAAAATTAATTTATGATGTATTTTGGCGGATAAGGTATAAAATGGCCACTTTTTTGTCCCCTTGAATTTCGTGCTAAACTGTAAGAACAAGATGCATTTAAGGGGATGACCATTTGATATTCCGGTGGGTGGATTTTGGAAATGAACATTCTGGCGTTGTTATTTTGAAAACAAATAACTTTGCCCCCGACAGGATGAAAATGAATATTCTGCCCAATAAAAATGCATGACAATATAGAAAATAGTTGTGTACAAGTATTGAAATAATTTTTTTGAAAATGAATATTCCATCAACAAAAAAAATCCTCCTCCCCGAAAGCCAAATGGGTATTAATGGTGCCAATTAAGTTACAGTACCAGATGCGCATTTCAACAATTACAAAGACGTAAATCTGTGTAAAATAACTTTTGGCTACATAATCCTTAGCTTTTTTCTGTTTTTTGCTAAGTACCTTTTTCAGTTCAAATATGTAAATTTCGACATGTTAATGACAAACATCATGAATGACCTTTTTGAACTAAAGTGTTCAGATAATATTAACCTGTTTATTTATCAATCAAATTAGCCTACTTTTGGGAGGCTTGTAACTTTAATTATTTTTGCAATTTCAGGGGCGGGCCAAATAACGACAATTTTTTATACCTACTCCTATCGATAAGTTCTGACGAAAAACGTTTTGTGAAAAAAACGCATTGATTAATTATACCTATACATATCAATATCAATAATAATCCTAGCAAAAACATCTTAGAAATTGAAATTTAAAAAAAAAAAATAAGTTTACGCCGTAAATTTGACAAAGAGAATGAATTTGGAATAGCATATATATAATATACCTATCCTATCACTCTAAGGGAGCTACCATTTGATTTTAATGTGGGGCTAGGATGAAAATTTGTGTCCTGCATTTTTTTTTAGTTGTAATCTCTGTCCTTCCTTTTTATTTTTAACTCCATTCGGTCCTGCCTTTTGTTTTATTAGTTTATCCTGACTTTAAAAATTAAATGGTAGCTCTCTTAATGCGAAGGCGCAATCGAAGTGTCTAAGCGAAAACGAGGAAACGCAAACGAACACCATTTCTGCTTTTAGCCTTTCCATTGCGTTTTTTACTTTCCATTCCGTTTTTCACTTTCCATTCCGTTTTTCACTTTCCATTACCTGTTTTACTTTCCATTACGCTTTTCACTTTCCATTACGTTTTTTACTTTCCATTACGTTTTTCACTTTCCATTACGTTTTTTACTTTCCATTACGTTTTTTTACTTTCTATTACGTTTTCGCTTTTAAAATGAAATATCAAAGGCGTAAAATCGAAATGGCCGCATCTTACCACCACACCAAAAGAGCATTGCAACTAGAATTATGCTATTTCTATCACTGTGAAATAGACATTTTTAAAGTTTGTCTTTATAACAAAAATGTTTTACATGAATAATCATAATAATTGTCCCTTGTAAAACTATTGAACTCGGGATGAAGCTCCAGAAGCATATCTTTCTATTCGGAACATTTTCATAGCTATTTATGCAACCACCCTATAATATCCGTACAGAAAACAAGAATGACATACACTACATAATAATTAAATAAATCATTATTCATATATTCCATGAACAGGGTTTATTTTTGTGTTACTTGAAATTTAACATTTTCTTTATTAGTTGTCATTAAATCAAACCATTTTTACAAATAGAAATGTATTCTTGGTCTTTTTCAAAGATATGGAACATAGCATCTGGTTCCGGTTAGACTTAACAAGTATCTATTGAAACTTTAAATCTGATTAAAAGGATGAATTGTTTTAGAATGAAATCATTTAAAGAACGAGTCAACATGTCAAAGTGAATAAGAAAAAAACAAAACAAAGTTGTCAAGACACAATCTATTAATCCATACGAAAACCCTCTCAAATACGACTTGTCAAATTAGATTCATAGATAATATTAACTATTCGGTAGTTAATAGCTTCTTTAAAAAATTTCGACATTCTTATTCAGCACACATTTATGTACTTTTCAGGTTTTGAATCTTCCAAACATTTGAGTTATTTGGCTGAGTTTAAAACAAATAGCCTTAGCAAATTTTATAAGGATCTTAGCTATGTTACTACGTCAATACTTACATTTTTTTCTTTCTGGACCAGCTACAAACAGTGAAAAATTTCCTAGTCTGAACATATTTGGTTGATTTAGATTAAATAGTGATATTTTATCAATTAATTAACAAGAATTCAATTTGAAAACTAATAAGCCACAATTACAATAATAAAAGGTGGAAAACTGTGAAGAAACGTAGGATGAGTAGTGAAAAACTCATATTGGGCTGTAAGGTTTGTCTACAGAAAAAAACATTGAATATGTAACATTCACAAATGCATGAATATAACTGTGTTAATCATATATTTGTTATTACCTAATAAACATAATATAGACAATACGATATTGACGACAGTTGTCTTAATACTACTTTTTACAAGCAGCTGTTTATTAGATATCGGATTATCAACAGATTAAGACAAATGGTATTATTGGTATAGGTGTTAGAAATTGTCACTGATACAAACTGTGGTGTCATGGAATAGACGTTCCTTTGAAATATTAGCTTCAAAATGGAAGAAATATACTGGAATATGATTTCCACTGGAATGAATATTAAAGTATTTGTTCCTAAACGGAATAAATGGTATCTAATATTTTTTAATACAGAAACAGATATTACACCATTGTTTATCAAAGTTTCCAGAGGAAATTCTATAGGTATTTGCTATTTGTCCGGCTTGCTGGGTAAATAGTGCTGGGACTATTTATCCGGCTAGTCTGATGAATAGTATTTGGACTATTTGTCTGGCTATTGAAAAAAAAAACAAAGGAAAGGAAAGTGTAATATGTGATTGCTACAGTGATCGGATAGACAGAATATTGAAAGATCATGAAAAATCATGGATAATATCATCAAATTAGGAGAGAGACGTCATTTATGTTGTTTTTACTTGCGTCCAATCCCTTTTTCTACTTTTGCAAATACACTATGTTTCAAATAAACTAAACTAATCAAATTGCAAACAACAACATATATCAAAATAAAAAGTATAGATGAATGTGCACCTCAATCTAGACAAGATAAAGAGAAGGAACAGTTCGTATTGAAATTTTGTGAACGGTATTGTACAGGGGACCCATCAAGAGCCCATTACTATATACATTCCTGGCTAGAACGGACTTGTAACAGTTGAGGTAATCTTTTAGACTTTTAGTGCCGTATTTAAATGGACATAATGTTTTGTATATTGTGCTGTCTTGATTCTATTAAAATGTATCATTCTAATGCAAATTAATTTCTGTCGCTAAAATGAGCATGAAAATTTCACCTTCCGCTAAAATGGGTTAAAAATCATGCGCTAAAATGTGCATTGATAATTTCACTTTTCGCTAAAATGGGTTAAAATTCTTGCGCTAAAATGGGTTATATTTTTGCGCTACAACGTCCGATGTTTTCTCTCGCTAAAATGTCCTATCAATGCGCTAAATGTCCTCCGCTTACACATCGTTCAAGGAATACTTAGTAGTGTCTGATTATAATTAGTGTAGTCAAAACAAACAGTAATTATGATTTGTGCATGTAAGCTTAGACTTCCAATTAAAATTTAAGTTAATATTACCTTTTTTCTGTTTGCGCCAAATGACCTGTTTGCATGTTAATCAAATGATCTATGTTAACCTGATAAATATCTTAGTGGGCGCATTTGGACTAAATCATAAGCGTGGCAATGGAAATAAACTTAGAACATATAGGCAATACAAAAGTAACTGTTCCGTGGAACCGTATGTTTCAAAAATTATTCCACGGTCGTACCGACGTGTAATGGCCCTGTTTCGTGCAGGCTCGCTCCCGTTAGCCATCGAGGATGGAAGATACACCAAGCCGCCAATACCTGTTGAAGATCGTTTATGTATTTATTGTTCTGACAATAGTGTTGAAACTGAGAAATTTTTTATTGAACTGTTGTCTATATAATGACTTAAGATTTGACCTTACTCAGAATGTTTACAACATATTAATAGTTTCGAAAATTTGAATGATGATTTAAAATTTATACAAATCATGAACTGCTCCGAGATTCAGCCATTTTTATGTAAAAGTATTTATAAGTTTTTTATGCGACGTAAATTGTTTACATAAATTTTTAACCGTTTTCATGCGACGTTAATATTGTTTACTTAAATATTTAACCTTGAATAATCATTTTAATTGATTCTGTTTATTTACATTATGCATATTAGTTTTTTTTCTAGATATCTTTACGTAAATATTTTCACATATGTATGAAGTTTTAGATAAATGTAAAGTAAATATTTTTTACGAAAATTTTTTATATATTTTTTCTTTCGTTTTATTTATCATGTTGAAAATACTCTTAAATCATAGTTATTAGTTTTTAATATATAGTATTTCAAAGTATCGTTGGATATTTATATTTGTATATATTTTGTGCAATGTGTCTCATAAGCCAAATTGATATGACTGGGTATTGATTGTTTTATGTATGTTTTAATGTTATTGTATAATATGTATGTCAATCAATATGTGACACAATAATAAAATAGATTATCATTATTTTATTTTATCATTTGGGCTAAAAAAATTGGAATCAAGTTTACATTTGGGCTAATTATTTTTGTCTATCTGTACAGGTAAAAGTTATCTATGACAATTTTTGTTATGAAATATATAAGATATTATGTATTAAAAAATTATTTCAAAAATACAGCCTACATAAAAAAAATTCGGCCATTGGGAAACCATGCTTGTTTGAAAAAAAAACTTGAAGTTTTACACCACTTAATGGAAATTAGTTTGCAGTTGAGATCTCGCAGTATCATAAGATTATATTTTTTAAAGACTTAGCTTTAAATTCTGGACCTGAACCTGGGAATAGTATGCAGAAAATATATTATGTCCCAGCCTGAA